TTTCTTAGACAGGATCTTGTGAAGTTGTTAATTTGGCCAGGCTGAGTTTGAGCTTGCAGGCTTCTTGCCTCAGCCTCCTGAGGAGGTAGCATGCTATAGTTTTTTTGGGTTTTTTTTTTTGTGGAACCGGGGATTGAACTCAGATCCTTGTGTTTGCCAGTCAAATGCTTATCCTACTGAGCCATCTCCCCGGCCCCTATTTTTGTTTTTGTTTTGTTTGTTTGTTTGTTTTGTCAGGTGCCTGGCACACATGCTGGTGATACAGGCATGCTGGGAAGCAGAGAGGGGAAAACAGCAAATTCAAGCCACACAGCAACTCAGCAGGGGGAGACAGCTCAACGCTATCTTCACTTTTTTTTTTTTTTTTCTTTTGCGAAGCTCAATGCTAAATGGCTCTGGGTTTGATCACCAAGACCACAAAAATAATTATTTTGAGGGGGCCAGGGAGATAGCTCAGTAGACTAAGCACTTGCCTGGCAAGTGCAAGGACCTGAGTTCAGTTCCTGGTTCCGCCAAAAAAATAAAAATAATAATAATTATTATTCTGAAGAGCAGGGTCTCATGAAATGGCCGCACTGGACTCAAACTTTCAATTGTCCTACCCCATCTTCCTGATAATTGGAATTAAGGTGGGTGACACCATGCCCAGCTGTAGCAGCATTTTTTTTTAAATTTTATTTATTTATTTATGTGTGTGTGTGTGTGTGTGTGTGTGTGTGCGCGTGTGTGTGTGTGGCCAGCTCAGCCCACCAGGGAGCGGGGCTGGCCGGCATGTGGTGCTGGGGATTGAACCGTGGTCCCTGCGCTTTGCTAAGCTTGCTCTAAGTAGGTGCTCTAGACCACTGAGTCATCTCACCAGCCCCGTGTAGCAGCATTATTTGTAACAACCTACTGTATGTTCTACAGCACAGGGGATTGAGCTCAGGACCTTTCGACTTGACAAGCAGGCGCCTACGCTACTGAGCTATATTCCCTGCCCTAATCTACTGTAAGTGTCCATTAAGGAGGAATAAAAAAAGAATTGATATAGCCACACAATGTAATATTATTTGGCCATAAAAACAAATTAAGCCAAATTGTGGGTGAACCTTGAAGCTGTAGTGCTAAGTGAAAGAACCTGGTTATAAGACCGGTAGAATGCCAGGTGTGGTGGTGCATGTGTGTAGGCCCAGCACTCAGGAGGCTGAGGCAGGAGGATCACTAGAAGTCTGAGGCCAGCCTAGGCCACATAGTAAGGTTAAGGCCATCCTGAACTACACAGTAATACTGTCTCAAAAATAAATAAATAAAAAAACCCTAAAAAACAAAGGGGCCGGGGAGATGGCTCAGTAGAATAAGTGCTTGTCTGGCAAGCACAAGGGCCTGAGTTCAATCCCCGGTTCCGCCAAAAAAAAAATTTAAAACCAAAAAACTCCAAAACCACAACTGGGTGAATTATGTGCTATCAGATGTGAATCATATCTCAATTAAGTTTTTAAAGCTATTTCACAAACTTAAAAAATCTACAGCACAGAAACAATGTACACTGCTTGAGACTACGCAGCTCTCATCTGCGCTTGTTCAAACAAATGCATTACCTAACTCCAGGGTCGCTGTGGCGAAGGCTGTGTTCGGAGCTTCTCCTCTCTGGATGGCCTGAGGAGTTGCCCTGAGCTAGGGACGGAGGAGGGAACGATCAGAGAAGTGGAGTAGCCAGGAGGGGCAGTCAGGAGGCAGCCCTTGCAATTTCTTCCCTTTAACCTCTTAAGTTTAAAACTTTTTTTTTTTTTTTCAGAACAGGGGATTGAACTCAGACTCCTGCACTCACCAGGGAAGTGCTTATTCTACTGAGCCATCTCCCTGGCCTATAAGTTTTAAAACTTTTTAAAAAATATTTTTATTTATTTGGTACAGGGTCTCGCTATGCAGCTTGACTTTTGACTTTTTAGCCTACCCAGTGCTGGGATTATAGGCATGTGCCACCATACTCAGTTTCAGGGCCCCACACAGTGTACCTGGGGTCCCCAGGCTGGCATGGCACATGGTACTGGGGATTGAACCTGGGTCCTTGTGCTTGCCAGGCTGGCGCTTAGACCGCTGAGTTCCCTCCCTTGCTCTAACCTTTTTTTTTTTTTTTTGGCGAAACCGGGAATTGAACTCAGGCCCTTGCGCTTGCCAGGGAAGCACTTATTCCACTGGGCCATCTCCCCAGTATTCCACTGAGCCATCTCCCTGGCCCTAATCTCTTAAGTTTTTTTACGCAGCATATATTTTGTTGGTCTTCTCACAGTGGAATGGAAATCCCAGGAAACCTGGGGAGCATTGCCATGAGTCGGAAGCCAGCCTGGGCTACACAGTGAGTTCAAGGCCAGCTGAAAGGCATAGGGAGATCCTATCTGGAACTTAGGACCTCGAGCTTGCCAACAGGCGCTGTGCCATTGAGCTACATTTTTGAGATCATGTCTCAAAAAACTGTAAATAAGTAAATAAATAAAATCCAGGCCTGATGTCACACACCTGTAATCCCAGGACTCGGGGAGGCTGAGGCAGGACTACAAATTCAAGCTCAGCCCAGCCGATTTTTTTTAAAAAAATATTTATTTATTTATTTACTTATTTATTTATTTATTTTGTGTGTGGCCAGCTCAGCCCACCAGGGGGCGGGCGGGCTGGCATGTGGTGCTGGGGGATTGAACCGAGGTCCCTGTTTTTTGCTTGGCTTAGCTTGTTCTAAGTAGGTGCTTTAGACCACTGAACCATCTCACCAGCCCCAGCCCAGCCGATTTAGTGTAGTAGCAAAACCATGACCGTAGGTTTAAAAAAATGAGTAGAGGATGTAGCTTAGTTCAGCATAACCACCCCCTTCCTACATAGTAGGCTTCTGACTTGGGAGCTGGTGACAGACATGCAACCAGAAGGCAGAAGGGGACAAACAGCAGCTCCAGGTGACCGGGTTTGGGGTATCCAGGGAGTAAGGGAGACCTAGGGGACTGCATGTGCTGATGTATGTGATGTTCCTCTGAAGGGTCATGCTCTGATGCCTCTGGGCACCAGGGAAGCCAGCCTGCTTCAAAGGAACAGAATGGGCAGAGGGGCCTGGGAAGATCACGGTCATCTCAAGGGACAGGCACAGGAGGAAGCAGTCCAGTGGCTTTATTTTCAGAAGCTGCAAACAATCTGCAAGCTAAATCTTGCCTGGCCACCTGTTTCTGACTTATGTTTTATAGAATTCCAGGCATCGAAAGCCTTCCCTAGAAGTCTGAGTTATGTGTGGTGGTGGTGGTGGCAATGATATAAATGATACAGCTGCAAGAAGCCTAGGGCCGGGGAAATAGCTCAGTAGAGTAAGTGCTTGCCTGGCAAGTGCAAGGGCCCGAGTTCAATCCCAGGTTCCGGGGGAAAAAATAAAAATGCAAGCATAGTTAATTCTAGGGGCCAGGAGAGAACCCACCAGATCAGGTTCTAGTATCCATTCCAGCAGTTTCAGGTTTAGGACTAAGCATCTTTTCTCCCCCTTTCCTATGCCAGGGGTTGAACCCAGGACCTCTACACTGAGCTACAGGTGTGCACCACCACACTCACAAAGAATGATGATTTAAATGCAAAATGAGGGCCGAGGAAAATGGCTCAGTGGAATACGTGCTTCCCTGGCAAGCACAAGAGCCTGAGTTCAATCCCTGGTTCCACCAAAAACAAATAAATAAATGCAAAATGAAGTTGTAAAACAGTGTTTCACAGTTTGACTCCTATTTTTCAAATATTTTGGAGGAGCACAAATGAGTCCAGCATGGGCTACAGCCAGACTTGGTGTGAAAATTGAACAGGGCTGGGCGTGGTGGCACTGGCTTATAACCCCAGAACTGAGGCTGAAGCCAGAGGATTGTTGCGGTTTGAGACCAGCCCGGGCTACAAAGTGAGTTCAAGGCTAGCCTGAGCTATGTAGTGAGTCCCTTGTTTCCAAAAAATAAAAAAAATTTAAAAAAAGCATCATTATGTCACCTCTGATAACACAAGAAGTGTGACTTTAGGGTACTTTTACACTACACTATTACTTGTATTTAAATGATATGCTGAATTATACTAACCATGTTACTTGGCAAAAATCAGCTTTGTAGAAATCATCTCTTCTCACAAAACTGAGCTTAAACTTACTCTATGCGCAAGTACACTACAGAGCAGGGTTGCGGCACACAGGAATCTTATGTATTCTTAGGGCGTAGAAAAGCAATATAAAAAGCTTTCAGACCCAGCATCGGTCAACCCAGCGCCTTTAGAAACAGCAGACAACCCCATCCTTCTCAGAACAGGGAACCCCTTAGGCAGGGCAGGGCCTGCCCTGGCCACATCCCTCCCTTGTCCCTGGGCCCAGCCCAACCCGTGCCAGGCGACTCACAGACTGAAAGAGAAGCCGAGCCTCATTGTAACACTCATTTTTATATAAATATCCGCAAGTCATGTTACAGAATAAGCCCCACCGGGGAAAAAAGTCAAAGTTATGGTTTTGTTAACCTGAGCCCTGCCTTCTAGTGGGGCCCAGCCTGGAGACACCTGCTGCTTTGGGAAGGCTGGGGCTGCTGCGCAAGGCTACCAGAGCAGTGGCCTGCTGCCCAGCCCTGGGCCAACCCCTTTCTTTGGTGTATGGTACATGGTGACCTTTTCTGCCCACCCCCCAGCCTGGGCAGGGTTCTGGAGAATAGGGTTCTTCGGAGCAGGGCCCAGGAGTCCTGGGGGCACTTGGAAATGGGCGGGGCACCGAGTCAGTGAGAAGTGGAGTTGAGGGCAGAGTTAATAAGAACGAGTTGGGTGGGGGCCTGGGCTGTCAGCAGGTGGCATTTGCCCTTCCTTGCAGCCTAGGTCCCAAGGTCCCTTTCTCTGGGTCCACCTTCTGCAAGATCGACCCCCATTCCCAGGAATAAGCCCTAGATTCCAGCCCGTCCTTTCCCAGCTCTTCCCCTGCCAGCCCTCCTACCACAGGGGCCAAAGGCTAGGAACACAGCACCAGTCTGAGGATTGAATTAACCAGGAATGGGACTGTTGAGGGGCACCCCTGTAAAAATGTACAAAAGGTCTGGGGGACTATGTGGAAGGGGAGATAAATATGTACATGGAACCCCTTTCCTTTAGCCCCTCTTCTGGCCCTGGGAGGGCATGAGGACTTGGGTGGTAGCTGGAGGGGGGCACTTTGGCCTCTGGCCTAGTGAACCCTTGGGGAGGAGGCCAAGTGCCGCAAAAGGCCTGTAGAGGGGTGAAGGTGACCTCGAGAGGTCAGGAGCCAAGGCCTCTGAAATGAGCCTGCTCACACACCCCCTCAGGCTTGTGGCCTCTGCCCTCCCAGCGACCCCATGGCTCCTGTGACACTTGACCTCCTGGGGGCTGGGGCTTCTGCTCCCAGGTCCATGACCTCAGAGACTGTGAAGTCACGACCTCTGCCTTCTGGCCTTGGCTTAAAGCCTCAGCCACAAGATCTTGTCCAACAGGGAGCTGGAGCTTTGTACCCACTGCACCCCTCCCTCACCTGTCGGCCCGGGCTGGGCCAGGGGCCCGAGGAGGAGAAGTGGGCCGGGGGGCGGGCACAAGTGGAGGTGGTGCCCCCAAAAGGGCTCCCGGGGGGGTCTTGCTGAGAAGATGAGGGGTTCCTGGGGCTGCAGCAGGTGGGGGTGGAGGAGCCAGTCGGCTGTAGAGTAAGGGGTGAGCCGGCTCGAGACCGTAGAGGCGGGCAGCGGCCACGGCCCCAGGTCCAGTCAGCTCCTCTCCAGCCTCATAGAAGCGGGGTGGCCTGGCGAGGCGTGGGGGCCCTGCCAACCATGCTGGCTCTAGGAAGCCAGCACAGCGCTCTGGTGGACTAGGGCCCAGGAAGGGGGGCGGCCGGGGCCTCTCAAACAGCAGGTGAAGGCTCTGAGGCCCAGTGGCTGCAGCAGCGGCAGCGGCGGCGGCGGCGGCAGCAGCGGCGGCAGCAGCAGCAGCAGCGGCAGCAGCCTCCTCTTTCCGCTCTTCCTTTACCCGCACGGACTCCTTGGCAGGCCGAGCCCCTTCCTCACCCGCCCGGGCCTTGGGAGTAGCAGGAGAAACACGGAGCTGGGGCCGTGAGAACGGGAGGTCCCTGGGGGTGCAGACGCAGAGGGTGAGGGTTCCCCAGAGCCATGGCAGGCTGGTGGGCCAGACCTGGGGGCCCGGGGGCGCACCTGTCCTTCTCCTCCTTGGTGATCGAGGGCTCCCTCCGCTCCACAGGCCGCTCCTTGTCTGAGCCTGGGGTCCGGGCAGCCTCCGGGGGCCGCACCCAGGCAGGGAAGGCCAGGGGACTTCGGTGCAGGCGGCCCCAGGGGTCTGGGGGGGAGGCGAAGGCTGGTGGGGCCCCTGGGCTTTCTTTCTGGGCAAAGACGGTGCCGGAGTCTGGGCAGAGAGTAAAGCAGAAAGTGACAGGGGCCCCACGCTGGATTCCTCCCGGGCCCTGCCTCCACACAGCACCCCAGGGCTGCAGCCCCTGCCTTGCCCTCCTTCGCACTCACTGAATGTGGGGCTGCCCAAGCCTCCAAAGGCCCCGTTGGAGAGGGCAGCCAAGGAGGCGAAGCTTGTGGGACGCCCAAAGGGATCTGTGGAGGAAAGCGCAACAGTTAAACCCAGAGCACAGTTAAACCTCTGAGCAGGCACAAGGACGGGCGGGTGGGGTGAGCGGGCCCTGGAGCCCAAGGCACTGACTGAGCTTCTTCCCTGGCATCCAGGCAGCAGCCTCACTCACTAAGCCGAGGCAGACAGGGCCCCTCCCAATTTCAAGGTGACAAACAGGCTGAGAGGTGACATGACTTCTCAGTGGTCCCCAGCGATGAGTGCCACCATCAACCTGATGCACCCATCTGAATGAATCCCCTCCCCCACCAGTCACCAGGACCTGGCTTCGAGCTGTAGCAAGCTACTTCCCAGGGCCTCTGTCGCTTCTCCCCTCTGGCCATGCAGGGCCCTTTCTGGCCTGACTCAAACCTCGCGCACAGGTCACACAGCCATCAGAGCAACTAGCCTGTCCTCCAAAGGAGCCGCAGCCCAGCCCAGCCAGGAAAGCCCGTGTCAACGGCTCAAGCTCCTGTCCTACACAAGCAGGGTTAGTGTCCCAAGACGCCTACCAAGCTCCCTAAGGGCCAGGGATGGTGTTCCTCCAGCCCCTCTCCCAGGTGCCATATGCTCCCTACCACCGAGAGACAAGGTTTGAGCTGGCACCTGACCTTCCTTACTCATTTCAGAGATGATGAAATCTCGGCTCAGAGCTGGTAAGGTAACTTGCCCAAGGTCACAAAGCAAATAGAAGCAGGTCTGCACCATTCTAGTTATCTCTTGGGTCTACTTTTCATTCCAAGCTCGAGAACATCCAGAAGTCAGGGACAAGGGACAAGGCCTGGGTTGCCCAATATGTCTTTGGGTCTTACCAATGTGGGTGCTGGGGCTCAGGAAGGGTCCGTGGGCCCCGGGAGCTGCTGTGAAAGGGTTGGCTGCAGCGTGGACGGCACCTGGGGCAGAGGTAGGAAATCCTGTGAGGCCGAGTGGGCCTCCGGCTACAGATGGGAACCTCAGGCCCTGAGGGCTGGCCAGACTCACCAGTCGCAGTGAAGAGGGAGGCCGGGTGGGAGAGCTCCTGCCCAGGGGGCAGGGCCCCATAGGGCCCGGGAAGGCAGGGCAGGAGGTCGTTCCGAAAGTCAAGCTTGTGGGAATCACCCTGTGTGGGACACAGGGAGAGGGGCAGTGAGGAGCCATGTCTGGTCCCTTTTTTTCCCCTTTCTTAGGTCTCTGTTCTTGGTCTCCATCCCCAGCTCCCGTCCAAGGGCTGGAAACCACCAAGATGGTGCTGGGGTACTCTGCTCTGCTTGTCTCAAGATTTCTCTGACCATTCCTCTAACTGGCCGGAGAACATTGCTAACTGTGGAGCTGCTCGGTAGTGACAGGAACAGGAGTGCATGTCTGTCTAAGCTCCTGCTGAATTCCACTGAAGGAAGACGCCCAGAGCTCAGGCCACCCCTGACTCTCAGAGCCACTCTCCCAAGCCCTCCGGCCCCAGTACCTTTATCTTTTCTTGGTGTCTCAGGATCATGTAAGCCAAGCGCACGTGCATGGCACACCATTTCCCTGGCTTCTGCCGCCCCAGAAGGATGACCAAAGGGAAAGGGAAGGAAAGAACATTCACTCATCGCCCATTCCAGATCCAGCCCTGCCACACAACATCCCCACTCATCAAAGCCTAGGAAACTGAGGCTCAGAGAGATAAGCTGTCTTGCCCAAGGTCCCGTGGCCAGTCACCTGAGCCCAGGTCTGTGACTTGAAAGACTGTTAGTGTCTGCTGCTTCCCACCTGGCTGCCTCTACATCTTGGGCTTCTTGCCCATTCCCAAGCAGGATCCAGCCCTCAGCCAAACACCCTGACACCAGCCCCCAGCCTCATGCAGCTAAGGGCCTCACCAAACTCACCCTCAAAGGTGGCCGGAAATGCTCGGGGATCTGGGGATGGTAAAGGAGAGGTTGTAGGCGATTCACACTTGTTTCCTGACCTTCGTGTCTCATCTCCACATAAACCTCTTCCTAGGAGGAGGACCCATCACACCCATCCCAATGCCTGAGCCCTTTCCTGCCCAAGTCGCAGTTTCTCCTCCATTGTGCCTACTCTAGGCTTCTTTCCTCCAACACCAGCTTTCTGAACCAGGCCCAGGGAAGTGTCCTTTTGGAAGGGGCAGGCAGGACAACCTTCTCAACTGAAGAAGCTATCCTAGGAAGAGGTTTATTTTACCTCAGTACTACTATTTTTGAGACAGCTTTCCCTACGCAGCTCATGCTGGCCTTGAACTTACTACGCATCTCAGGCTGGTCTGGTCTTGAACTTACAGTCCTGCCTCAGCCATCACAGTGTTTGGATTACAGGAGTGAATCACTATGCCTGGCTCACCAGCTTTATATAACATGGAACCATATAAGATAAGATTTCTTTAGAAAGAAAACCTTTTAGGGGCCAGGGAGATGGCTCAGTGGAATAAGTGCTTCCCTGGCAAGTGCAAGGGCTCAAGTTCAATCCCCGATTCCGCAAAAAAAAAAAAAAAAGAAAACCTTTTAAAGGTGTTGGATAGCCTGGTCTAATCTCCTTTCTTCCCTTCCTTCATTCCTTGCTTTTGATGGTACTGGGGATTGAACTCAGGATCTTGCACTTGCCAGGCAAGCGCTTATTCTACTGACCTATCTCCTTGGCCCTAATTTCCTCCTTTGCAAACACATTGTGCGCTTTTCCTAGTGTTTCAAGAGCTCTGGGGTCTACGGCTGCTGCACATGCAAGTGGGAAGAGAAGGCTCAGGCTCCCTAGCCACATCACTAAGCAGACACTGATCTTTGTTTTATGGACAAGGTTTCCTGATTATGATTCCATTTAAATTCTGTTAAATTTGAAAATCCGAACAAAAACCACTCTCCTTTGGGCTAAGAGTACAGCTCAGTGGTAGAACACAAGCCTAGTGTGAGCAAGGCCTTGGGTTTGAAGCCTGACACCACAAAATGCAAAACCATTCCCCCAACAACCTCCTCACTCCCGGGATGACCTCAGTAAAACTCCTATTTCTTAGATCTGGACAATTCTCTTGCAGAAATCCTCTCTCCTTAGACACCCAGGGATATCTCTATGTTTTTTTTTTTTTTTTCCAGAACCGGGGATCGAACTCATGCCCTTGCACTTGCCAGGGAAGCGCTTATTACACTGAGTCATCTCCCCAGCCCCTTTTTAAAAAAATGTTCTTTTTTTTTTTTTT